GGCCAGGCCAGGCCAGGCCAGGCCAGGCCAGGCCAGGCCAGGAAAGAGTCGAGCTGCTCTGCAATGCACTGTATTTGTTCGCCTGGATAGAAAATCGCGGGTGGTTCTGTTTCTATTGCAAGCTCGCGTGTTGGAGCTCACGACTATTCCCTCCCTCTTTTCGATACGCGTTACAAGGCGATTCGGGTGGCCCTTTGATCAAAAAAGGAAACTCTCCCAGCACCGATGTCCTCGTTGGAATTGTGTCGTGGTGAGTTGGCGACACACAGAGGGGTTTGAGGATGATGAAGCAAAATGCTCTGTTGCGCATTTGCTTGTTTTCACTGCAAAACCTCATCGCGTTTTTTGCCGGTTGCTTTTTCGTACATGTGCGTCCGTAGGGGATTTGGTAAGTGATGTGTTCTCYGCCTGTTGAGATCAGAAAAAGGGGAAAAAGTCCRAAATCCTCCTTCTCAATGGCTGCAAATCGATAATTTCTGTGCCATCCAACAAACGTTTCTCTTCAGGATGCGCCCATCCCTCCTTTCCTGGGGTRTATTCGAGAATCTCATACGTCTCGGAATGGGTCATAGCAACCATTTGTCAACTCTCCAGTGCACCACCAATTGAATACGATTGTGCGAACGTCATGGCTCCCTCGCACGAAAACTCCATTCCCGTRACAGTGATCATTCAGTACGATGATCATCCTGGAGAGATTTCTTGGTCGATAAGTCAAGCAGAATCGGGGCTTGTTCTAGTCAACGTCACAGAAAATCTTGATACACCCGCTCGATATAGGTCTCAAGAAACTGTCTTCTTGCCCCCGGGATCCGATTTGGTKTTTACAATTCAAGATCGGTACGGRGATGGGCTTTGCTGCAATGCACCGGTGAGTTTGAGACAGAAAAAACGCTGAAAYTAGTCAACTATTGATCGGGAAAACACGAAGATGATCTCTCACTTGCATCGCCAACTCCCAACACTCATTCAGGGAAACTATCGAGTCGTGCTGGGACGAAATGCAGTAGGCAAAGTAATCGCATACGGGGGAGGAGACTTTGGCCGTGAAAAATTCCACAGTCTTAGACTCCCTACGGATTATGTCGACGACGCAGAAAAACCTCTGATTGAAGACGACCAGATTGCTTTGACAGTTGTTATTCAACTCGATGGCTTTCCGGAAGAGACAGGCTGGCGAATCGACCGGCTCGGTGTCCAAGTGGAGGATGTGATACGAATTCCCACCRGCATTTACACAACACAAGAAATGACAGTATTTCGTACAATTATTTTGCAGAAGAACGAGCTATATTTCTTTAATCTTTACGATATTGCAGGTGACGGAATTGACCACGGTTACGGTGGGTAGTATGTTCAACAAAAGAGTTGTTTGTCACAAATGGGCTGCATTTGCATGGTTTTCTAATGATCAAAATTCTTTTCAGTAAAACTCTTCTTAGGGACGACGGATACATCCGATTTGAATCGCATAATATTCGAATCAGATGGAAACTTTTTATCAGGCGTTGACCATACCTTTTTTGCGGCTATTCCTCCAACCATTCTGCTCCCTCCAAGTGATTCTTACATGTATTTGACCCTCGTGATGACGATGGACTTGTAAGTAACGTAATGCTGGGACTCTTTTTCGGGTACCCAAAAGTGAGCACTCTTACTTACTTCTTTTCATTGTTAGATTTCCGGGTGAGATTAGTYTACAACTTCGCATGGAAGATACTGAATTCTCCACAAACATAGACGACGAGAGAAAAGATTCGATCGCATTCTTTCGGCCGCCTGGTTACTACAAAGATCGCGTAAACGAGGTAGTCACCGAACGGATTGCGATACCTCAGACCCCAGAAGGGACTACCCGACACTTTTCTTTCATTATCGGAGATCGTTCTGCCGATGGCTTGTGCTGCGMATGGAATGGTGGRCAAGAGACTGGCTACACTTTGTACGAAGGTGATCCRTCAATGGATAATGTAATCGTACATAGCATTTTCAAATCGGCTGGTAGAGAAATCAAACATTTCTCCATCAGCAACGACAAGGTTGATGAAATAAGTTTAAACAASAAGGAGGGCGAACAACAAAGCGTGAAAATAAAAGTATCTATCAAGTTGGATCTTCATCCGGGTGAAACAGGTTTCTTAATCTCAGATTCGTCGGGCAGTCGATTAAAGTATGTACCACCTGGTACTTTCAAGGAACAGAATGCCATCGTCGAAAGGTCATTCGCCTTCCACCCTGGATTGTATACATTCACTATCATAGATACGTTTGGTGATGGAATGAATAGAGATGAAATAATATACAGTATTGACCTTTTGGAGGACCGTAATCGGCCATCGATTTTAACTGGAACAGGGGATTTCAATGGAGCAAAGAGCCATGATTTTCTAATAGAAGGAGACGAGGCTCGATACCCTCTASAAATTCACATGACAACTGGGCACAAGCCACATGAATTTGGCTTCTCAATTTACCGTCTAGATTTGGTTGAATCCGTTGCAATCATCGCTAGCAGAAGTAAGGGGGAATATGACCAAGCCTATGATRATATCACCGAAAGTMTAATGGTAACAAAAGGGGCCCTTTATAGAATTGTATTCGAAAACTCATATTCGGGGATACATGGTCGGGTTGTCATTAATATTGGTTGTTCAGATCTAAWTTCTTGCGACTCTATGGAATATACGTTTGACAGTGAAAATGCCCAAGGCTATCGGTGGTGGCAGGTCAAACTATACGCTGACAATCCATCTTTGTTGATTGGGAACAACTCCGAAGTCATGACGCTCCAGATAGAACCTGATCGCTTTCCGGAACAGATTGAATGGGTTTTAGTATCATCGAACCATAATTACACATTGCAGAGGCCCTTCATGATCGAYGGAGAGGAGAAACGTGAAGTTGTAGCATATGGTCCATTACCAGAAAGCAGTGTATCTCGAGATACGTTAATCATACCCAGACCAAACAACAAACAGGGCCATGCACTCATAATAATGAACAATGGGAATGACATTGCATGGTTAGGAGAAKGTTCATTGTTGCAGCTCTACGACAGCCAGGTTTATGGTGGATCCC